TTCTTGCTTGGATATTCTGTATCTGAGCATGGATTGCAATCATTCATATCTAGAAAGGAAAGGAAAAGAACTGGTGTTGATCTGATAAGAAGAAGACAGGCAAGTTAAACCATGGAATTCAATGTCATAAATTTTAGAATCAAATGAAATTCTGTGTCAAACTTAGTGTCAAACTTAGGCTCTCGACTGGTCTTCTTGGTCTACTCTAGGTGTTAAAACATAACCAACATCACTTTGAATGACAACTATCTTTCCCATGATGCAGAAAGTTTCCTCAAACCATGGAAATTAAATGGGCTTTCTTTGTGGACAGTGCACTTCAGTTGTTTCTCTGGCAAGCCAGAATGAAAGAGGGGAAACCAGTGCTGCCTCCACCCATCACTCTTTTCAATTGATTGCCCCCCCCCCTTGCAACTCAGGGACCTTCTCCCAGCACTGACCAACTGATATTTAGGAAAGTGCTGCTCTCTTGCTGGCTGCTGGGTGAGACTGGCATTTGTACCCTCTTCCCAAGTGGATCTGTGATTCTAGCAAGCTGTACTGGTACTGAGGGACCATAGAATAGGCCACTGTTGTGGTCTGTTGATTCTAATATATCATAAAATCCATGATTGGCTTTGGATGACAAATCAGATGGACTTGTGTTAAACAGTCAACCATTCCTTCTTGTGTGCTGCAAACCCATCCATTCAGTATTTTATTTTATTGATATGTTACATTTTTTTTTGCTGCCCAATGGTCACTGCTTTCTGAGTGGTTCAGAAGAAATAGTTCAAAACTGCAACGTAAAATAGAAATCTTGAAAGCAAAACCCAGGAGCAAAACCAAGATTTAACATGCAGCCTAGCACATAAAACAATAGAGACTGAAATGTTTAAATGTCCAGAAAAACAGCATCTGCACCAGATGCTGGTAAGATCACAAGCTGGGTGCCTGGAAAGTTCTATAGAGATTTCCTTCTAGATGTGCAGCAGCACATAGAATTTTTTTTTGCATTAGTCACCCTCTTTACTTGCTTCAGCAGAGACATCCAAAGAAGAAACAACTGTGGCAAGTATCTATTTATTTTTTGTTGATTTACATTATTCTAGATCATCCTAGATTTTCATAGAAAATATTATGAAGGCTTACAATAATAAAATATGAAAACAGCTTATAGTACTTAATTGAAATAATGTTAAAAAGTATGTTGGTTACCAGGCCTCAAGCTATGCAGTGATTTGAATGCTAATTCTAGAAGGCATGAGTCTAGACATATTGACGAGATGTTCACCCACACCTTCAGAGATTTCACATAGACATTGAATGGGGGAGGGGGGAAGGGGCATAAGATAGAGCTATGTGGAACTCCATTACATGACTGCCAAGGCACAGTGCAATAATCAGGGATTTGCCATCTCAGCAGCAGTTGAACCACTGAAGTGTCGTCAATTCCCAAGCCAGACAACTGATCCAGAAAGATACTGTGGTTCATAGTACAAGAACCAATGAGAGGGCATCAACTCCTTTCCCCTTCTCTAAACCCATCCCTTGCAAAACCTTCTGATCACATTTAAACCACTGACGAAAAATCACCCTAATCTACAAACTGTCACTTTGAATATCTATCCAGGGAATGTATGTTTCCTACCCTTCTCACTTGAGATCTTCCCGGCCGGGCATGGGATGCAATCATAGCAGCAATACGGCTCCCCCTCCTTCACTTTTTTGCTAGAGCCTGGATGGCAACTGTCAGTACATACAGAAAGTGGTTGTGTCTAATATGTGAATTAAAAAAGGAGGTTAAATACATGGGCATAAACCTTTCAAAATGGAAGTCCCCCCAGTAAATAGAGTTAAAAGATTGACCCAACATTTCAAGAATGTGTGAATCTTAATGTACCACTATGTTCCTCTGGTTTTCTTCATGTGGTGGTAAAGTGCCCATGGAGACCCCCATTTTGAAGGAAGAAATACAGCAAGTGAGAGAATAACAGACTGAATGGGATGCCACTTCCTGAAGTCCCATTGCTTGACATGTAAGATATGATCATAGAAGCATACACAAAGCTGCTTACAAAATCTGTTAATTTCAAGAGACAAAGGATCACTCTTCACTGGAAACCAATAATATCATGTTGCAGATGTGCTTCAGCAGCACCATTTAAACCCAGACCTTATATGCTAGAGAAGATAGAGATCCAGAATTAAGAAACTTTGGGAGCAACAATGTCATGAGAATGACTATTCATATTTTTGTAATCTAATTTGTCATTCAGAAAGTAAGTACACTAGAAAATGAGCTGAAGGACATGGCAGAAGCCCACTGGGCTGAAGGACCTAATTATCATACTGCCCCTGGAGATATGCTAGTGCAACTCACAGATATTCCAGGGCAACATTACTCCAGCATAGAACAGACATCTGTAGTGCAGCCCAAAGTGGGCAGAGACAGGGAAAAATAGACTTACTCTCAGAGGTATACTACTTGGAGTTCTCACAATGCCCCAAATGGTGATAGGACTTTACAGGAAGGGCAGAAGGGGCATGAATAAAGTCTCTTTGATTCAGATCAGTGGAGAAAGATACCTTAAAAGCCTTAAGAACTTACTGTACTATGCCCACATCAGCACAACCGAGTTCTGAATTGGACCAGACTCTTCAGATAGAAATAGCATGGTGATAACATAGTTACTGTATTTTTCGCTCTATAAGACGCACCTGACCATAAGACGCACCTAGTTTTTAGAGGAGAGGTCCATGGAAAGCTTCCTGATAATCACAGGCACATTCCCCATCACTTCCCCATGGGTTTCATTAAAAGACAGGTTGCCATTTGGAAACACTCACTGAGCTGTGATTAACAGCTCTCACCTGCACCGGATGAGGAGGGTGCAGCAGGGCACACCGAGTGTGTGCCGGCCAGGTGTGGTGCAGCCGGGCTGGCAGTGTGCTGGCAGTGGTCTTCTGGGCGGCATGGCGGTGGCGGCAGCAGTGGCAGCAGGTCTTCCCAGGCAGTGGGGGTGAGCAGTCCCTCTCACCCTGTGGCCGGCGGGTTAAAGCCTGTGGCTCCTCCTCCTCCGTGGCAGGTCTTCCCGGGTGGTGGGGGTGAGCAGTCCGTCTCTCCCTGTGGCCGGCGGGTTAAAGGCTATGGCTCCTCCTCCTCCACTGCACCACTCCCCCTGAGCAGCACAGCTCTCACCTGCGCTGGAGGAGGGGCAGAGCAGCGCACACTGAGTGCGTGCCGGCCAGGTGGTGCCACGTGGTGCAGGTGGGCCAGCAGCGTCCCGAGTGTCGGGCACACACACATTCACTCTGTAAGATGCACAGACACTTCCCCTTTTGAGGGGGAAAAAAGTGCATCTTATGAAGCAAAAAATACGGTAAGTTCATTATATCAGTGATAAGGAGGCTGTGAGTCAAATGGAAGGTAAGCCGTAAGGATGCATAGTTGATGCTCCCTGCTGCTCCTGAATTACAAGGTTGAGAAGAACACATACAGTGTAATTCTGGTGATGGCAGTCATGGAATATGGGTTTTCAGTTCAAAAAGGGCACTTGACCTAAAGCTACCTGCTGCTTAAACACTCATAAAAGGAGGACTTGTGGACACTTTCCTTCTTGAGCATCATTCTTGCACAGGTTCTGAGGCTAGCAGACACAAAGGCTGCAGCCAATTCAAAAATGGAATGCAGTGGCAGAGTATCATGAGAAGATAAACAAGGGAAATAGGCAAGGTCTAACAGGAAGATATTATTTTTCTAGAGGGGCTTTTTGCATATTTCTTTTAAAGGGGGCTTTAAAAAGAGCTAGCCATCTTTGCTTTTTGATGTGCTTTCCAGGAAAGACTGAAGTGTTTCAAAAAGTTTATTACCATATCATTCAGAAAGTTATATGTTAGAACCCATCGGGTCCTCCTGTGGGACAATTTGACTTGTGGAGATCTGAAGTTTAGGGCTGGTGTCATAAACATGCTCTGGTTATTCTGTATCTTGCTAAATATTCCCAACAAATGTAAGAACAGGTACATGGACTTTACACATACATTTAGAGTAATATCTGGCTGTTCTTGCATGGTTGCAACTTAGCGGAGTATTAAAAATCTGATGGTGATATTCCATTTGTTAAAAACTGACACAAATAAAATGTACCTAAATTTCTTCCTGCTGGTTTCAGCTAACAGTACTGGTGGTCAAGAAAGCCCACCACATGGGAGTTCTCTCTTTTATGTTTTCACTTCATCCAATATGCTTCTTTCCTTACAAATCAGTTTTGCATAATGATTTGCTGGAATCAACTGAAATGAACTCCTGCAAGACTGAAAATCAGAGCTCATTCCAAGGAGTTGACAAGTATCTCCTACCTGATTAAACCAGTGGTGCCATGTGATGGCCTCCTCATCAATGGCAAGTGTTGGACCTCTAGAAGCCTGGAGATCGATCCTTCCAACTTTCACACGGAGAAATGATTCATTGGAAAAAACCTCCCAACTGATAATGTCAAATCCAGCTACAACTTCCCCTTTCTCATTGAAGGAAACCTTGTCCTGAGCACTATTATTAAAGGAGACACCTTGGAGAAACCGATGTAGCTGATTGAAAATGGAAACAAGACTGTTTATAAGATTGCAGTTTAGCCTACAAGGCAAAGTTCTAACATCAGATGGAGATTAATTAATGATTAATAATTAATGATTTCTAGTGATGGGAGGTCCAAATGAAGAAATGCTACTTATGTATTTAATAGGATTTATATTTATGCTTTTCTTTTCTGCCCATGGTGAAGAACTAAAGACGGCTTAAGAGAATTTCTTCATCTCCAACTTTACTCCTCACAATAACCTCTAAGGGACATTAAGCTTAAAGTAGGTGACTGACTTCAATTCACACAATCAGATTAGTAGCTAAGTGGGAGCAATGTCTTGACTCTCCCCCGTCCAACACTCAGAAGAGGAAAGCAGGGGAAGGTGACTGAAATGTGCAGTATAATTGGAAGGAGAGTTCAAGGGCACATGCCACAGAAAAAGATATGAAAATTTCACACCTGACTACTTGGAGAAGATTACCTGCCACTGTTCTTCATTCCTCAACTTCTGTCCATTAGTCTTCACCATTGCCCTGTGATTTCCTTCACATGAGGACATGGCATGCATAGCATGGGCCACAGCATAGACTGCATTGTAGATGCTGTAGCTGTGGCCAGTCATGCTCATTTCGAAGAAAGGTCCAGGAAGGCTCTCCAGCCTTTCCTTCCCAGTGCAGATTTTCTCTTCCACCTCATTCATAACTGAAGCTGGGAAACGACAGCCAAAAGCTTGTTGCCAAAAGATCCTGAGAAAATCATCTCCTTTTGTGGTGATTGGACTTCTGCTCTCCTCAAATGATTGGAATCCTGGTAGGTCACTGGACTGAAGCCTCAAGGTCAGAGCACCATGGAAGATTTCTGCTGCCCAGTGCCTTTGATAGTCAAATGCACTGATTTCCATCTGGGCTGAGGCTATCCATACTTTGCCTTTCAGTTTGCTTGTCACGCTTTTCAGCTCTGCTATAAATGTCAGCCATCTAAAAACTGCAATGGAATATGATTCTCCATGGGCCACCACTACATTGGCTTTGCTGTCCACTAGTGTATTATATATTTTTGCTCCCTTTCCTAACATAGCATTGATTTTATTGTTGTAGGTGTAGCGAGGAATTTTTTCTAAGAAGGCAAAACAGACTCCTCTTTTGGAAAACATTGGAAAGACAATGTGCAAGAATCTTTCTCCATTGTCATTGTCTGTAAAAACAAGCCCGATCCATGTCCAGCTGAAATGCAGGAGCAAAGACAGAATCCCCTCATATTGCAGAGTTTCATCAGGAACCATCTGATAGAAGGGAAGTCCTGGTGTCTTATCTTTCATGACTGGAGCCGCACCATAGATGAGCTAAGGGGAGGTTGAAGAAATGTTTGCATGATGGCATTAATGATTGGAAAAATTCTGTATGATCAACATTCTGGTTGCCAGCAATTCTGTGAGAAGCACTGCATGACTTGTGAAGCTGATGCTTTCCAAACTAATTCTCCAGTTCCCACAATCGGAAGTGCTCAATTATTCAGGTTCCCATTCCTCATAGCTTGATGTGAGTTGGAGTTCTACACATTCCCATGGAAGGATTTTCAGTCGCTTGTACTTCTCAATGATCCTCCTTTCAGAAGTCTTGTTATATTAAGGAATGTGCATGTCACACGGGTGTTCCATCTTGCTGTGACATCAGACTTAGGACCAATAAGAACCATTTGATCACCCGTCTGCTCTAACTGTGTCTGATAGGATCATTCTCTGGTTCCCAAATCCATTTTATGCAAAGTCAGAGAGTAGTAAAATATGTTGGTTACACGATATAATTAATGGTTTCAGATATTTTTCTGCTTATGTTGTTAAATGCTCAATATGTACTTGCCATACAGTGGTGTAATTTAGACTTTGCAATCTCAAAGTAGTTCGACAGATGTGCATCTCTTACTCTACATGCATGGAGGAATGTGCACAAATGTAAAATAGATTCCAATTTTTCAGGCATTGGTATCAAGGATGGAACCATAGAGCCATTTGGCTTAAGTGGACAATCGCCCCTCTCACCCAGCAGCTAGCAGGAGAGTACCAGTGCCCTAAAAATTGGCTTTCTGAGCCTTTGGTTTTCTCTGGTAAATTTTTGTGGTGTTCACTTCCAGCATGGATTCATGACTAAATAACAATGTTGTAGTTTGTTAACTTTTTTTCTTTAGGTTGTGGTTTCATTACACTGTCTAACAAACAATGGAATGTAAACCTTCAATAGTCACAAACTGGTACCATAGTAATAGATTATATGGAAAGATTATATGGAAGATTATATGGAAAGACAATGCTGAGTTTCTCAATTCTGTCCTGCTCTGCTGAATTTGGCCAGTTTGACCAGTGGAGAAAGTGGCTCCTTAATGAGAGTGATCATGCATGTCAATCTATATTGACATCTCTCATGCAGGGAAAGAAAGAGGATTCCTACCTGTGGAATCTTGTAGCTATCCAAGATATTTGCCATATTGAGAGAGACTTCGGAGTCCAGTGCTCCAATGACTGCTATTAGATTTCTGCGGATACCACATTTGTAGTTGGGGACCAATCTCTCCTGAACTGATAGAAGTCGCAGGGTGGCCTGACAGGTTGTCCTTGCATTGTGGTAGCTGTCATAGATGCGGAAGCCAAAAGTGCAGTTGGGCAGTATGTGAGGGCTGTCATTGATCTCTTGTACTGCAAACGCCAAGGCCAGGAGATGCTGGTAATTCTTGGGGATCATGCTGAAAGGAGATGCAACACCTGAGGATCAGAGTGGAAGTCACAACATTTGAAACAAAACTATACATGCATGGCTAGAAAGAAAGTACCTTAACGTTGGGCACTAGGCTGAAAAAGAGCAAGTCACAGAATGGGAGTCAATATGGACAGAGCAAAACTACATGGATATACACAGTAGGAAGGAAGCTGCTTTGAGTTTGATAGGGCTTTGGCTGAAGATAGGTAAAACTGACCTGAATGGGTCATAGAGTCATTTCTGAATCACCCTCCCTGGGTTCTAATAATTTCTCTAGACAGATGAAGAAGAAATGGAAAGAAATAGCCGTGCCATCCTTACATCAGTTCTTTCAGTGAGTCTGGTGGGGGTTCTTCAGTGAAGGTTATTGCACTGGATATGATTAAACCATGAAAAGCGATGCTACCAATGGAGATTTCTCCTGACTGATAGGCCTGCAGTGGGACAGGAAGCTCCCAGATGCTGCATTTGTGAATGTGTGTAGGGCACACTTTTTGGGAAAATATTACCAGAAGCAAGACCTGAAGCAGCACCATCCTCTGTAAATGTCCACTTTAGAAGTGATACAAAGCCTTCCCTGTTTTCATGGGCAACACAGCAGTCAATGGCGCCCTCTGAAATGGAACTCCCTCCTCCAAAGGTAGCTGGTCAGCTGACAGCTCTGTCTGCAGGTCGAGAAGTACCCAACTTTTCCTCTCATTACAGGCACCTTGCTTGTTCCTAGTCCCCTCCTCTTCACTTCCTTGTAGTAGGCTTATTTATGACAGCCTGCACTATTTTGTGTTTCATGTGGTCTGGGGCTATTTGTATTCCAGAGGGGTTTTGTGGAGTGGCAGTATTAATTGCTGCCATTTGGATAATTAAAATGTTAGTTAATTCTATTTCAAAGTCACAATTTTTCTGATTAATTGCTAGGAGAAAGAATATGCTTGATGCATCTAAGCATCGGCCACTTAATGCTTGCAATGGCTCAGAGCCATGAAAGAGAAGAACTCTTTTCCCTTGGGGGCATTTTGTGTGATTTCAAGCTCCTATGGAAATTTATCTTTTTAGTCATGTGCAATCAATCATATCAGTCAGTTTAAGAAAAAGGGTTAAGCATTTGGAGGTTAAAGGTTTAGTTGCAGTATTGGTAACTAGCTAGGTAGCTCATTATATCAAGTCATAGGCCATTACATATTTAAAAAGCCAGAAGTTACAATTCAATAACCTTGTGAGGTAAATCGTTTAATTCCAATGTGGAGGTCATGAACCTTGACTTAAAAAGGATGAGATTTTATGCAGCCTTTCTGCAGAAGCAGTTAATCTGCACTGATACCTTCCCATTGAGGATCCTTCAATTATTCCTTATTTTTATTTTTTGATTTATATGCTGCCTTTTTCCTCAAAGGACTCAGGGCAGCTTACATCATATTCCTTGGAACCATCTTGTTTTGACCATGCAGGATGTAGGGTAGATAAGTTAGCCTTTGATCTTCTTTAAACCACATTATCCTGAAGGATCCCTATGTGGGCTCTTGTATTTTAATCACTCTAACTATCCTCTTCCCCTGTTTTTCTCTTTATACTTTGTGTAATAGGTTGTAATCCTTCTTCAGTGAAGTGCAGTTTCCCTCAGTTCAACTCACTGCTCAGTTCCTCAGACCAAATATCTGGCTCCCTCACTGGGGTCCAGGATGGAGAAAATACAATAGAGCCCATGACAATGCCTCTTTTCCGAATTCTCCCTGAAGGTTCCATGAGGCTTGAGGCCAAACTTTTTGAATTTCGGTGAATCAATATCTACTCAGCTGGCTCACCCCTGGACATGCATCCAGACTGTTCAGGGCTTTGGGTAAGCACCCTAAACTGAACATTATTAGGTACTTATTTTCAATACTTGCTTTCTTCCTGAAATGATTAATTCCCATTAAGCTCAGAACATTTCTGGGTAAGTAAATTGTATGCTTTACTTTCTTTGTGCTCCACACTCATGCTGGTTAAATGGGCCTACAGAAATCTATTAATACAAACTGGTTTCATTTCTTGCAATCTACATTAGGTGTCAGTGTTGAGGCATTAAGAATAAATGAAGACCCATGCCAGATCAGACCAAAGGTCCATCTAGTCCAGCATTGCATATATATGGTGGAAAACCATCTGCATGCAGGATCCCTCAGGAAGGATGAGTGCAAGGCTTCCTCTTGCCCAAGCTCTTCAGAAACTGCTGTATGCAGGCATGCCAGCTCTGGTAAAGAAGGCAGCACATAGCCAGCACAGCCATAGGAGGAAAGCAGGAAATATGAACAACACATAAACTCTGGATGGTTGTGGCTGCAGTGCAGAAGGACAAACCTAAAATATGCAGCTCTACTCTCACAGCCTTCATGTGAATTCTCCAGAGCTTATTTGGGCATGTTCTTAGCTTGGGATATGAAATCTTCTGTAGGGGTGGGATTCCATTAAATTTCTGTGGACTTGGGTCTCTGGACACTGTCCTGCTTGCTGTGAGCCTGAGTGCATTTTCCTCATGAGAATCTCCATTGTTTGTGGAGCACTCTCCAGAAATGGAGACCTCCACAGAATCCTTCTTCCATACCACATGCGGTAGTGGTTTGTGCTGCGCCATCCAAAAAAGAATTTTGGCCAAGGGAAGCTCAGCAGTTATGGAATCCTGCACAACCCTAACTGTATTCCTCTCTTGCAGAACATGCTGCAGCTGCTGCTTGTGTTGCCATTTCTCAACTTTCATTCCATGATCATTTGTGAACTTTCTCTTGGATTGGCTCACTTTGCAAAACTGGGATGAATATGAAAGGAAGACTGCAGATGAGTGATGGATGGCTGAGGTTCATTCCACCACTATCTGTAGCTTTATATTTTCTTCATGTTGATGAAGCATGTTGGTTCCCTCAGTAGTTTCCATCCAAACATAAGAAGTGCAAGGAATCTTCCTGGCATGGGAAATTCTCTCCATTCCGTGGTTTTGGAATCCCAGATTCTAGTTCACTTAGCAGCGCAGTCCATCTCCCTGGAGAGCATGCCCAAGGTTCATGAGTACTTGGCAGCAAATGAATCCCATGCACTGTGAATGCAGCATCACTCCTTTGTGCGAACTGCTGCTCATGCATGACAAGTTGAAATGATTTTTTTCTAGATAAAACTTTGATTCACCACTCTAAAGAAGGCACAATCATCTAGGCTAGAAATGAAAGGAAGGACAGGGATAATTTCTTCAATATTTTCTTGTGATCAGTTGTTCTCTGTTGTTCAGCTCAGGTCTCAACACAATAATGTAGCATTTGGGGAAAAAGATGCAACACAGCAATCCTGTGCTGGAATCTAAGATGCAGAAGATCTCCACAGCGACGATGGATTTTCACTTGGTGCTGAAGTAAGAAGGAACAAAAGAGAGCCAAACTCTACAAAAGACCAGCATGCTGAAAGTGATGAACTTGGCTTCATTGAAACTTCCAGGCAGCTTCCTGGACAGGAAGGCCACAGTGAAACTGAGGATTGCCAGGAAGCCCATGTAGCCCAAGGCACAGTAGAACATGATCACTGAGCCCTCATTACATTCCAGTATGATTCCTTCAGCCATGGAGAGAAGGTCGACATCTGGAAACGGGGGCGAAGTTCCCAGCCACACAGTACAGATTCCTGCTTGGATGAGAGAGCAGCAAAGAACAATGAGACTGGCCTTCTCATTTCCCAACCACTTCCTCATCCTGGATCCTGGCTGAGTAGCCTTGAAAGCCAGAACGACCAAGAGGGATTTTGCCAGTACAGAAGAAACAGCCACTGAGAAGATGATGGCAAAGGCAGTTTGTCAGAGGAGGCAGGTGAGCTTCTGATGCTCCCCAATGAAGAGCAATGCAGAAAGGAAGCAAAGCAGGAGGGAGCTGAGCAAAGTATAGGTGAGCTTCTGGTTGTTGGCTTTGACTATGGGAGTCCTGTGGTTCTTCACAAACACAGCCAGCACCAGCGCTGTGATGAAAGAAAAGTCAAGAGCAAGGAAAGCTAATGTGAGCCCCAAAGCTTCTTCATAGGACAAGAAAGTTGTGGTCTTTGGAAGGCAGAAATCCCGATTCTTGCTTGGATACTCTTTATCCGAGCATGAATTGCAATCATTCATATCTGGAAAGGAAAGGAAAGAGAAAGAGATGGTGTTGATATGACAAAAAGAAGACAGGCAAGCCAAAACAGGTGCCTGTTTCTTTAAAGGAGGCGGTAATCAGGCCTGTCCTAAAGAAGGTGTCCCTGGATCCAGAGATGGTCGCCAATTTCAGACTAGTGGCCAACATTCTATTTTTGGGCAAGGTGTTGTAGCGGGTGGTGGCGGGACAACTCCAAGCACTCTTGGATGAAACTGATTATCTGGACCAGTTTCAGTCTGGTTTCAGACCTGGTTACAGTACTGAATCTGCCTTGGTCATCCCTGTATGATGACTTTTTCAAGCAGAGGGATAGGGTGAGTGCGTCCCTGTTGGTTCTCCTGGACCTTTCAGCAGCTTTCAATACCATCGACCATGGTATCTGTCTGGATAGGCTGGAGGGATTGTGAGTAGGAGGCACTGCTTGGCAGTGGTTCTGCTCCTACCTTGCCGGCCAATTCCAGAAGGTGGTGCTCGGGGACTTTGGCTCTGCACCATGGAATACTGCAGAGCTATATTTTGTCCCCCTTGCTATTCAACATCTAAATGAAACCAATGGGAGAGGTCATCAGGAGGGTTGGACTGCGGAGTCATCAGTGTGCTGCTGACACCCAGCTCTACCTCTCTTTTTCAGCTAACCCAGGTGAGGCAGTGGCTGTCCTGAACTGGTGCCTGGCTGAGGTAATGGGCTAGATGAGAGCCAATAAACTGAAGTTCAATCCAGGTAAGACAGATTTCCTGTTGGTAGGTGATTCGAATTTTTGGGTAAGTGACTTGGGCTTGCCCTGCACTCCCTCTAAAGGAGAGGGTCTGCAGCTTAGGAGTGCTCCTCAACCTGGAGCTGTCCCTGGA